CCCTTCTGAGTGCCATCCATAGCCATCACATCACTCTGTCAGAGGCGGTTTGCTTGTGCGAACATCATAGAGATGCCAAGTGGACACACACCAGCTGTCGTAGGCACACAGCTGCCTTTCTGAGTCCAACAGAAGGCTGCATTTAACTAGATCTGTGGCAAGTCACTGACTTCAGCAATTAGCAAAAGTGCAGCAGGCCTTTCGTATCTCGATATTGGTTTAAAACGTGTAGTCAGTTCATCACTGTAACGTGGTGATCTCCCTAAATCGGTAATCATCCCTTCTGAATCTGTGAGAACAAGGGATGCCTCCCCTGTCCACATCAGTAACGAAGATATTTTACAGCAATTCTGATAAACATGGTAACAAAACCTGCAGTCCCTTTACCCACTCCTGCCCAAGCCATTTATACTGGCAGCCAGTTACATCCTCAGCAGGTCCTATCTCCGAGAGAAAGGCACAGTAGAAAGAAGCTCAGGGAAGGGATAGTCCTAAATAACTCCCCATTGTTTCAGCCCTTGAAAGAACAGTAGCAAGGGGAACAAGCTGAACCTTGGGGTGCTCCATCAAACCCAGCCTGCTCCTGCCCTGCAGCAGCTTCCCGAGGTGAAACACCAGCAATATGCCCAGCTGGAGTCAGCACTGCAGAACTTCATTTATTTCAGTTTTAGGTGCTTAGCTTTTTGCCTTCATCTGAACACAGCAATCGGAGCATGAAATGCTCACTTTCACGTTCAGCACAAAGCCCAGCCTGCACTTTATATTCCTTTTCAACCCCACCCCTCCCCCCCTTCCGACACACACACTTCTCGGTATGGACAAGAAATCAGAGCCAGCAAAGGGGTTAAACCCAAGTGCAGGAGCTGGAGGTTGCAAGAGATCTGACAACATCCCTTTCCCTCTCTTTTCTCCCCCTGCCAAGGATTTTTCTCATCACGCTGCACACCCAGCCTTCCTGGAGGCACACAGGTAGTGTTCATCTACCACAGCGATGGGCTCAGACTCTTGGGGGCACAGTCACACTACATATAAACAACAGTCCCAGCTGCTACAATCATGTTATCAGCAATGAGTAATATGTTCTGTAAAAAATGCCTGAGGAAGCTGCTAGAGCATGCTGTAGGTGGTTATAAACTATCCTTCTGAGATCAGTTTCTTGACAGTTGGTCAAAATATCAACCAAACAGTTACTGAAATATTCATTACAATTTTCTTTGCCTTCTTAAGTGATCTTAGTCATATTAAAATAGCCATATTATTAGGAAGTATTTTGAGGGCAGAATTCAAACTCTCCTCTCCAGCACGCACTCCCCAGCCACCGGGACTCCATCAGCATTTTGATAAGCTTGTGTCAAGAATGTGCCCCTGGCTAAAAATTAGTTATTTAACAGAGCTACTAAAAAATTGGGATCTCTCTCTTTAAACGTTTGACCCTGAGGCAGAAGAGGAGGGGAGGGAAGGAGAAGGAGAGAGAAGATGATAATCGCTTTAGGTAGCACCCTGACTCATGCTAATAGCAGCCTAATTGCTATCCAAGTGCATTTAGCAGGAAACAGCCACACCTAGAGAGGTACCTGTGCAGGGGAAGATTAGTTTTAAATGGAGGAAGGACAGAGATATAAATGAACTTTCAGCTGAGCACAGTGGAAAGTAAGAAATAGTTGTTTGTTTATGTAGAAACTGCCTTAAATCCAAGAGCTAGCTGGTACTGATCAGATGATGGGATGTGGCTGGTATGTAATTCATGTGAGAAGCAGGTACACTACAGGTCTCAAAATGAAATGGGGATTTATATTTAGGCAGGGGAAAGAAAATATCCATGTGTGGGGAAGAAGTGGTTGATGCTGTCTTTCCGGAATAAATCAGCTTCTGCAATGATTATGACCATTCCATAAATAAAATCCATAAATGTCAGTCCGACAATACAAAATAAGACCTTTATTTGAAAGTAGATGTGATTATATTAAGTAATCTGCTTGGGAGAAAGTTGCATAAGAATGGAATGATTTGTAGTTGATCGATTAATCAAATTTAAGAATCAAACATGCCCTCTACATGCACCAGCCATGCTTTCATAGAATCATAGAATGGTTTGGGTTGGAAGGGACCTCTAAAGGTCATCTAGTCCAACCCCCCTGCCGTGGGCAGGGACATCGTCAACTAGATCAGGTTGCTCAGAGCCCCATCCAACCTGACCTGGAATGTTTCCAGGGATGGGGCATCCACCATCTCTCTGGGCAACCTGTGCCAGTGCTTCACCACCCTCAGTGTAAAAAATTTCTTCCTTATATCTAGTCTAAATCTTCCCCCCTTTAGTTTAAAGCCATTCCCCCTTGTCCTGTCGCAACAGGCCCTGCTAAAGAGTCTGTCCACATCTTTCTTATAAACCCCCTTCAAGTATTGAAAGACTGCAATAAGGTCTCCCCAAAGCCTGCTCTTCTCTAGGCTGAACAGCCCCCACTCTCTCAGCCTTTCTTCATAGGAGAGGTGTTCCATCCCCCTGATCATTGTTGTGGCCCTCCTCTGGACCCACTCCAACAGGTCTGTGTCTTTCCTGTACTGGGGGCCCCAGAGCTGGACGCAGTACTCCAGGTGGGGTCTCACCAGAGCAGAGTAGAGGGGCAGAATCACCTCCCTGACCTGCTGGCCACTTTCATACATTTAAGATTCCTCTTCTCCACTGCTCTGCAGTGCATTGCTACAATAGCACTGTCCTCTGAACACCGAGCCCCCCGTTCTCGTTGCAGCCATCTGACGCAGCAGCTATGGGGCGAGCCCAGTAAACGAGAGGACGTTTTCACGCGGGTCCGGGCAGACCTCTCAGCCCCTGTTCTCCAGCTGCCATTGCTGTTTCCTGTCTCTCTGCTGAGAAGGGAGGCCGTGGCGAGCAGGTGCTGCCTGCGGGTTTCGGTCACAGCCCTACTGGCTGGGGGGAAAAATCAAGAACTGGATTTCTGAGTAATAGATGATAAAAGGCTGTTTTGTTCACGCCATGTGCGGTCTGTGGAGTGGGTAGAGTTGAGTGTAAGAATCGATTATGTTCTCTGATGAAGGTGCCAGATCTTTCAGCGAGGGTATTGATTTACGCATTCAACTCTGCATGTTACTTTCTACTAATCTTCTGCTACTAAAATTCAGTGATGTGAATGTCAATAGGCATGAACAAAATCCCCATGTTTTGAAAAGCCTGAATCTGTATTTGTAGGACATAAAAATTACTATATTTGCTCACTTTTGCTGTCATCTGCAAGCCATTTTCATAGATTCCAGTGTGTCCTTTTTTTGTTCTGCGAGAGTTTCAAGAGATTTGGGAGATCTATTAGTAATGGATTTTACATGCAGAACACACGTGTGTGCCTATGCATTACCACGAATGTTATTTTCTCTTAAAAATAACATTTTTTTTTTACTTGTAAATTGCACTTGATCACAGTCTAGAAATACTATATGCCAGAAATTATCTATCTTGAATTGCTGAATAATAGTATTTGGGTAGGCTCCTATGGCAACAGATGTACAGCCTCTGGATTCACACATCAAAGGTTCTTATGGCAACTGTTTTTTGGATACCCCTTCATTGCACAAGCAGGAAAATATTCTGAGCTATCCCAGTAATCTCTGGAAAGACAGCAGCAGTAGAATAAACTGACATGTTTACTACTTTACATTTGTTTTTGAAATATACATAAAGGCATACCTTACATTAAAAAAAAAAAACAAAAAACACAAAGGCCAAAACAACACTGTGGAATCAATAACGTGGAAACATTTTATGAATATTTATTATAAATTAGTATTTATATTATACTGATACTTAGAAACTCAACCAATGATGGATTGGCATTGACAATGTGTTATATATGTTATACAGATTTGAAGTAGGTAACCATCCTTGCCCAAAAGGCAGCTATTTTTTTCTTCTTCTTTTTTAAGACTTAGTGAAATTTTACAAAAAAGGACCTTTCTATTAGAAATACATCAGGTTCAAATGACCTTGACCTATGATACGCAGCAAGGATCCTAACAAAAGAAGGGGTTAGCCATGCTGCTGAGCAGCCCGTTTCAGCTTCCCTTCTGCATTCAAAGGAACTCTTCACATTAATCAAATGGGCTTTGGATTAGCCCTTATTTTTCAATGTGCAATTCTCTTAACAAAGGTGAATTCTTTTTTCTCTTTCCCCTTTATTAAAAAAAACCCTGCCCGACCGCTCCACAGCTGCAGGTCCGCAAGTAGCTGGCAAAGGTGGCGTCTGTCTGTGATCACAGGTCACCAGCATCCACTGTAAAAGCTCAGTTCAGCGCAAAACACACAGGTATACACGCACACTCCTGCTGATGAAGTCTCTTTGGAAATAGTTTTTGCCTCACAAAAAGGGATGGTAACTTTTGAACAGGAAGACACCAATGAAATAATTAGGGTTAGTATAGAAGAAACCATAAAGTGTCTATCCCTTTATATCTTTAAGAACAAAGCACAAAAACTTCTGTGAGGGGTGTCATAAGTAAAGCCGTTTGGGACAGGGAGATGAACTAGATGATGTCCTAAATTCTGTATTTCTGTGGCTCTGCTGTCACTGTGCTTGTGCTGCTGCTTGTGTGGGTATAAGCCTTTGCTTCACACAGACCCAGGGGTAGGATGGCAGCCTCCAGACAGAGGAAAGTTGAAATGAGATGTCAAGCACGTGGGGAAGAAAGCGAACACCTGAGCACCTGGAATAGTGTCATATGCTCTTAGTCATTTTTCTACAAAACTTTTTTAATGACTGAGGCTCACTAAAATAAGCCTTTGGGGGAAAAGTTTTAAAAAAAAATAAAATAAAACATGTGGTCCACAATAGGGGCTGCACAGTACAAATATTTTTGCTTTTTTAATATGTACTGGAAGGTTTAATTTAAGTGGTGGGTGGTAAATGCATTTTTATGAAGCAGAAAAATGTCCTAAGAAACTAAAAATTGATTTTGCAGAACATAAAAGCTTTCTAACGGCAGTCATTCAAATACTACGCATTAGTGTGGCTATATTGGGAAATGTGCAGACTAGGCGTGCTAATTTCTGAGGATATTTTTTCACTGGCTATTTGTAAGAAGCGGCTAATGACAATGTCTTTAGCCTTGGTGGTCTCCATGTTCCTCTCCCGTGATATCTGCATGCTGATTTGATCTACATTAGTCATGATAAGCTCCGAGGCCAGGATCTGAGTGGGGGATGCCCTGTTTGCTGTGCTATCCATGATGTACTGCTTATAGAGTTCCACCAGCTTCTGTTCGAGGTAGTCGTTCAGGGCTGAGTCGGAGAGGGGCTGCTGGTGGGGCACTAAGCTTGCCAGCCGCCAGCACGAGGAGTAGCCTTGGACCGGCTTGCGGCTGGTGTCGCCGGGGGGGACCTTCACGGACTCCATAGGGGGAGGAATCTCTGAGGACTCCAAGAAGGGGCCTATGCCGCTGTCGCAGGTAAAATCTGTCGTGACTGAGCTAATTGGCACCACGTAGTCCCCAGCTATATGCAAATCGTTGTAGTTCTTGCAAATGCTTTTGCAGGAAGATGGAACTAGGTAGGTGTCTTTTCTTGTCAGCCCCTCACAGACATGCATAGCTGGAGACAGCTGCCCTTCAGGCGGTGGGTGCTGTGCCGGCTGTAGGAGATTATCCTTCTGCCTTCTGCTGTGCTTGCTACCTCTAGAGCAGACTGAGGAAATGCACTTGCCAGCAGATCTGCATCTCTGAAGGAGGCTTCTTCCTTGTGCTTCATCTGTGGACGAATAATTAATGGACCTCATTTCACAAACCACTTCCTCAGCCGAACTCTTGCTGTAGAACTCAGGGTTCAGGTCTTCACAAAGGTAGGCAATTCCGTAAAGGTAACCTTCCGACAGCATCCTTCACCGAAGGAAAGGAACCACCAGCGGACAGAAAAATGACAAGAAGAAACCATTAGTTCATTACAAAATCATTGAGTGGTGATTACATTCGCAAGTCTGTTACTAGCTGAGGAAAGATGTTTCGATTTGGACATGGACAAGAGTGTCTCTGTCTAGAAAGAGGACTTGAGTCAATGAGTGAAGTGATCAGCTAGTCTCCCTGTCGTGCTGTTAACTCAATCATATCCAAGTATATTCTGCATAACATAACGTATGGCATGTCCAATACATCCAACAACAAGTGAGTTGGGAAGAGAGGAACAAGAAGTGGTTTGTTGTGATAATAGTTGCTGTAATAGCTTACACTTAAATACGTCTATTTTTGCCCTTGACTTCAGTAAGAAGCCAAGGGCTTTCCCCCTTTTTTTCATATGCTTTGAATCAATTTTTGTTGTATGTGGTTTGTCAGCTGCCTCTGAACTATGTTGATTTGAGATTCATATTGAGAGCATCACCTGTTCTGTTCCAGACAAATCACTGTAGATGTGGTTCCTTTTCACTAAAAAAAATCTTAGACAGTTAAATTAGCACTTAGCACTTCTGCATGCCAAGCAGGATGGAATTAATTGTCTCTAACTTTTAGACATGAAAATGTCAGTGGCAAAAGCAAGGCTTTTGGAAGGCATGATTCATCTGGCCTGTTTTAGACACCTAAATCAAAATGAGATGAATTGTGCCCTAGATTTGCTTATCACTCTCCGGTTACTATAAAAGGATCTTAAACTGACTACCCTAGATGTAGAAATCTGCAGTGTACTTTTGAAGAGACATATTTCAGTGCAATGCATAGGGAAGTGCGCATTTCAGAAGTACTCCGGCTCCTCCACCGTTGGATTAGTCGTGAGTATCGCCAGCTCTGAAATCAGTTTCCATTGCATTTCTACAAAGGCACAATGAGGTTCCAGCAGTCACTAACTCTCTCCGCTCTCTGAGCAGGCAGCTCAGTCTCAAAAGCTGCGTAGACATGTTAGCAATGAAATCAGGACTCACTAGCAAGGACACACGTCCATCTGCCCATCAGTAAATGTTCTGCCAAGCTTTAGCAGCTCCACTACCACGTAATTGTTCTTAAGTCCACCTCTGTGTCTTTTTTTTTAACAGATGTCAAGGAGACGATCAATGGGAAAGATGTCCTAAAGAAATTGTGTGGTCCAGCAAAGAGAAAGTAAATTTTAAGTAAAAATAATTTAAAATAAAAATTGGTTTTTTCTTTCTGTAGAACAAAATATCTCGTGTGCTAGAGGAACAAATAACTTGTCTTTGTTTTAATAGCAAGTACTTTTCTTCACTTACTATTTAATCCAATTATATCATTTCAATCCTTACGGATATTGTCTCTGCAGATATGAACATATGTCCCAGTTATTTGACAGTTTGCCTGTCTATTTCAAAACACCCGCTGTGACGGAGCACCAGAACAGGAACATCTTTCCACAAACTGTGAATGGGGAGGTGGCATCTCTCTGGCACACGCTGTACTACCCCATGCTGCTGTCGACTGCTCGACTTACCTTTTCCAAGAGTGAAAGGACTCTCATTTCTTAGTAAAGTATTTCATGTGTCACAGTTGCTAGTGCAAAATGCTGCACTAATAATAAGTGTTGGCTAGATCCTGTCTGAGCGTGGATACAGACTTCAGGCAGATGTTGGGAAAAAGACAGCATGAGAAAAGACTTCCCTCAGGGGGGAGAAAATCACTTCCACGCTATGAAGAAGGAGGCTGGAGGGAAAACAAACTTCCTTCAGAAGGAAATATTCATGGAAATCAAATGTGTCCAAACACTTGCTTTGGTGACCCTGGATCCTCTCTGCTGCTGCAAGTTGTGTGAGATTTTCCACAAGCAGGTAACATTTAATGAAAAGCAATCTATTTACACGACAGGGGGGAAAAAACCACGCTCGGGGCTTGGCATTCCCTGCAGTACGTTGCTGTTGTCTTGCTTTAGGTTTTAGCTGTGATTAAGGTGCCACCACAGAAATCTTAGCCAAATGCTAGAGCTACTCAGATTATCAGCTTATTCCCCTTTCTCTCTTCTGCTTCTGTTCCCCCCTTTTGCAGTGAGAAGACTGTTCCCTTCCCCCACTCATCCATGTCCCAGATGGCCTTATTGCAAAGTCACCACTAACTTCAGCTAGCATGAATCTGGAATTGTTATACACTTATTCCTATGCTTACTTTTTAATGTGGATTCTGAGAAATGAGTGAAAATATAACATATGGCCTGTTCACTGCTCAAGCAACATACACAAAGACAGTTGCGTTCAGGTAGCATGTGACACTTTTGTCTTTCCTACTACCCAGATGTTTGTTGTTTCTGTCATAAGGTGATACATTAGGGAAATGAAACCGTTGGTTTCATTTCTTTGCGCTGCATTCTGCAATACTTATTTTAAGCATTTTAGAGCACACTGTCTGAGGCAGGAGTAGAAACAAAAGAACTGGCAAATTCAAAAAGATTAGGCTCCCATGGCGCTCAGGAGTTGTGTGTTTTGCTGAATGAGTTACAAGCTTACCCTCCAAAGTTGGCAAGGGCTGTTGCACTAATCTGACAATATTCCCAGCTCTGCAAGGAAATCTGATTGAAGTTTTGATAGGCAGTGTTGAGAGCCTGACTGCGAGAGAGAGGTGTGTATATCTCTGGTCCTAGTACTTAACATAATAAATACCCCTGTCAAGTTGTTATTCCATCACTACCAATGGCTGGTCACCCAATTGGGTCACCTTTAATTCTTGCATTTTACATCTGATAAGAATGACAGTTTTCATTAATTCTACTTTCTTGTGCCCCATCTTTTAATCCCCCTTCCATGCCACAAATGCACGTACACACCAGACTTCCAAGTGCACAGGGATTATATCTAATGTCTTTCAATATTTTGGGTTTCACACTCCTTAAATACAGATTTCACTTCCCTCTTCCTGAAAATAACTGCATGACTTTCATCGCACAAGGAAAAACAGCCCCTTTTACAATTCTGATCTGATGCATTTTGCATGTGAGGTGAACAAAGAGATTTTTCCTTGCGTGGCTCCTGTCCTGGCAATGAGAGCTGACTACATTCTGTGTAAGCCTGGATGACAGTGGAGACAGAGGGAGAAGACTGTCTGGTTCACACTGTCTTTGCTATCTGACATAGTCGTTATTACTGTCAGATGATCTTAAAAACTCATATGTCTTCCCTGGGCTTTTTGTTCAGTTCTTCAGTAGAAGAAAAGCCTAAAGGCAGCATGAATGTTTAAAGCCACTTGGAGAATCCAGTGGTATTGCCAGTATTTTCTGAATGGCAGCAAATTTGCTGGGTTATAATGCTTGGAGATGGTGTCGATGTTTGCGTACAGACCTCAGATTAGAGCCTGGGAGCAGGCGAGCAGAATGGGAGTTCTTGGCTCAGGACAAGCAAAACGTTTAAGGAAAGCCTGAGAAGTGTACACAAAGAGATATGATAAATTGTGTCCTGTATAAAAACCTGAGCAAGATGAAAAGTTGCTAGGGAGAACAGAAAGAACATGGTGCCAGCTGGGATCACAGCTCAGTGGGGAAAGGGACATTCTTTTGCATTGCAAAAGGAGGGGATGGAAACTCATGGAAGAGACAAGCTTGTTTTGAATATGTCTGGCTTTCAGATCCCTGAGCAAGGCTCTGAACGGCACTAAAGTTGTACTGCTGGTAGTTGGAGTTCAAGTTTTATCACAGGGTGTACCTTAAGTTCTAGCTGACTTACTAGATGGGATCTCAGATGACAAAGTCTCCCTGTCTCGAGGGAACCCAGATCCTGTGGATCCATCTGTAGTACTTTTACCGATTTTAAGAGATGCTTTTCCAGGAGAAAAAACAGACTGGAGATACAGACAGATCCCTTCAGTGAGGTTTGGGATCTACGTCAGATTGCAGGACGTGCATGCAAGAGTTCACCTGGCAAGCAGGATAAGCTGAAGAGCAAGCCTGCATGTGTTGCAGGACCCATATCTCACTTTGCACCAGGGCTAGTGTGAAACAGCTCCCAGGAAGCCTCCTACGCAGCCAGCGTAGGGAAATCAGGAGAGTGAAGAAGGTAGTATCATGAACTGTGCATATGGATGAGTATAGCCTTTCCTTAATGCCTGAAACCCACAGATCTTTGGTATCTGAACCCCATTTGATAAGGGTTATCTCCAGTGCCCAGGGCTGGCTTGGGTGAAGGTAATGCTGATGACAATAAACTGCATGGTGAGGTGGATGCGTCAGAAGGGAGAGCCATCTTACAGAGAGACCTGGACAGGCTGGAAGAGTGGGCTAGCAATAACAGTATGAAATTCAACAAAGACAAGTGCAAGGTCCTGCACCTGGGACATAACCAAAGAGCCCAGTACAAGCTAGGATCTGATGTGTCAAAGGGACAGGATCTGTCCCTTTCTTGCTGAAAGGGACCTGGGGGTCCTGGTGGACAACAAGCTGAACATGGCTCAGCAGTGCACCACTGTAACAATGAAGGCAAATTGGATCCTGGGCTGCATCTGCAGGGGCACTACTAGCAGAGATAGAGATGTGATCATCCCACACTACTCAGCTCTTGTCAGACCACACCCAGAGCGTCCAGTTCTGGTCCTCACAATTTAAGAAAGACATGGACAGACTAGAGAGGGTCCGATGGAGGGCCATGAAGATGATCAAAGGGCTGGAGAACCTGCCCTGTGAGGAAAGACTGAAGGAGTTACCACTCTTCCTGGAGAAAAGAGGGCTAGGGGGACCTCAACACAGTATTCCAGTACTCAAGGGCAGCTACAAAGAGGACAGGAGCCACATAGAGAAGACAAGGGGCAATGGGTACAAGTTGCATTGGAAGAGGTTTCATCTCAGTACAAGAAAGAAATTCTTCACGGTGAGAACAATCAATGACTGGAACATTGATTCAGTCTCCTCCCCAGAGACGTGGTGGAGTCCCATGGCGGGAAGCTTTCAAGATGCAATTGGACAGGG